ATTTTTTTTTTTTTTTTTAAGGCTGGAGAGATGTTTAAAACATCTTTAAACATTATCTCGTGAGATATTCCAGCTATTAATTGTAACCACTTAAGTATTTCCTCTAATGGTGATGTTTTCTTTTTGCTTTCGTTGCAAAATAGAGAACAGCATTTTGAAGTCTTCCATGTTAAAATTCTATCTGGAAATGTTACCATGTGGTAGAAAAGCCTATTTATTTTGTAAATATGTTTTTATATTTACCAGTAATTTAGAAATCAATTTATTGGGCATATGCAAAAAGAATATTCAAAAGAATGTAGTAGCCCAGATCTGGTGAGAGAAAATATAAACAGATTACTTATTCCCTTGTTTATTATATAGTCTGGTTTTCAATAAAAATTACACTTAAAGGTGAATATACCTTTTCTTTTCCAAGTAAACTTATTTTGTAAATTGGATAAAACTGAGTTTATCATATACTTATTGAGCAATTACCAGGCATTATCTTAAGAGTACTTAAGAATAAGGGATACGAAAAGTGACTACTAGTTTTGTTGGGTTGGGCTTCAGAACAAGGGGCTCTATAGATGTGTAACTATGCTGTGTGGATGATCATCAAAAGGTTTTTAAACACACACACAGTTTATATGTGGTAGGGCCTGTTCCATATACTTTACAAATATTAACTTAATTCCCACTACCCTAGAGGGTAGATCCAATCCTCACCTCCATTTTATAGATGGAGAAACTGAAACAGAGAGAGGTTAAAATGTATTTAAATTACAATAACACAGCTATTAAGGACTGATGTCTTGTCTCTAGTTACACATTTTCCTATTATTTACCCCTTACTCCAACAAAACAAATAACTGCACTCAATTCCTGTGATTTTCTAAAATCTGATCAGTAATTTCCTTCTTGTGGCTTCAGATACACTTGGAAATGCTAAGCGTTCCATTTATTATTGCTGGATAACAAAATCATCCAAAAACATAGTGCTTAAAACAACAATAGTCTTTTACTTTGCTTTGCGATTTAGGGAGGGTTTGGTGGGGCAGTTTAGTTCTGCTCTGCTCAGCACTGGCTGACGTGGCTCACCGGGAGGCTGGGCTTTCCTTGTGGCTCATTCACATGGCTGGTAAGTGGTGCTAGCTTTGGTTTCTCTCCTGTTTACTCCAAGAATGATTATCGAAAGATATAGGAAGTGGAAACTACCAGTTTCTTAAGTCCTGGACTCAAAAACTGGCACAGTATCACTTTTGCTATATTTTACTGTGGAGGTGGTCACAGAGCCCAGATTCCAGGAGAGAAGACATGGATCCCTCCTCTCAATGGGGGAGTCAGAAGAATTTGGGGGCCATGTCTTAAAACCAAACAACAAGGCCAAGTGAACACCCTCTCTGCTAATAACGAATTGATACTGAAATTCCCCCTATTATTCATTAATATTATGTTTCATGAATGAAGACAGTGACTTCTTACTGGAGGTAAAGCTAGTTTTCTATCACCTCCATGGTATAATCATTTATGTATATATTTTCTTGTAAAATAAAGTGTCTTCTGTTTTTGGCTGGTAGTACAATTATTTTCCTTTGAAATTAATTTTTAGTTTGAATTAAACTCTGAAAACAGCAGAACTACTAGGATCTATGTTGATCAAGGTATCTACGTAGGATTGTTGTGTTGGTGATTTTGAACAAATGTGACAGAATAAATATGTAGCACTGGGGTCAGCTAATGGTAGAAATTTCCTGAAAAAATGTAATATGTTGGATTTTGTAGTAGAAGATTTATAGTTCAGTTTTCATAGAGAGTTTTTAATGATTACATTTTAATAAATTTCCTTAGGAAATTCTGCCTTTTAGTTCAAATGCTCATACTTTGAAATTTTTTGAAGTCAAGAGTTAGTTTTAGTTATGATTTTAAGAATTGCTTCTCAAACTAGTAAAGGACAGAAGCCCCCGAGCAAGCCTGTAGTACTGAAGAATATTTGAATGAACAGAGAAGCTGGGTTCTGGTCTCAATTCAGGTATAAAAAGGTATGTGACTTTTAGCAGGCACTTACTTAAGCTGTCTAGACTTGAATTAATAGTCTATGAAGAAAGAGATTAAGATTAGAAGTTACCTAGTTATCTAAAAAACTAGAATACTAGTTTTTAAACTGTATGGTTTATTGACATTTATGATCAGTGGGGTTGTTAGAGGATGCTTGTTTCTTTAATATATGATTTTTAGAAGAAAACTGTTCCTAAGGGTAACACATATACTAGTTGCATATAAAAGCAGCATTTCAGTTGTGATGTGGTAAAGTAGAAAGAGTACAGAATTTAGAGTAAAACACAAGTTCTGGAACCTCTTCTGCCACCAGCTAGCTCTGTGACTTTGTATTTTTCTTCTATTTTTATTACTTCTCCCCCCATCATAGGAAAGCTCTGTGACTTTGGATGACTTATTCAGTGGTTTTCGTTTTGGTTTGAGCCTAAGTTTCTTTATGCTTTTATAAAAATAAGGTAGATGATGATAAAGTTTGTGAGAAATTCAATTCTAAATTAAATAAAGCGTGTAAGAATTAAACATATGTAAAGTACCTGGTACCTGGTAAATACTCTTTCCTCCGTCAAGTTACCTCTCCTTCAAATTCCTATTTCTTTTTCCTTAAAAGGGGAGATTAACTAGAAAATCTTGTAAATTCCTGAA